AAACTGTTGTTCTATTAACTCTTTTATTATAAACTTCTCTTAAGTGCAAAAAAGGGTAGTAAATGACGAGGAAAACAGCGAGCTATTTTACACACGTCCTACCCGACCTGCCACTAAGAGAAAAGCTCACGAGGCACGCATGCTGCGGGGTATTATGGGTAGGGCGCCGGAGGGCGCTATTGTATATAACTCTTAGCAGAAAATACCTGCCGGTAGGGGGAATATGCATAAGTAGTATTGCTCTACAGGTAAGTAGAGTGAAGTAGACTCATTCATTTCAGATCTCCAGACTACCGACTGGAGTGAAGTATACGAAGCAGATCAAGCTGAAACTGCTTACAATGCTTTTCTTTCCACTTTCAACAGCCTTTACAATCTCCACCTGCCATTTCGTGTCAAAACAGTTGGCAAATCATCTAGAAATCAGCTCTGGATTTGCCAGTCTATCATCAATTCATGTAACAACAAAAACAGGCTTTACAAGTGATTTCTACGTAATCCAACATCAGCAAACGAGTGTAGATATAAAGAGTATCGGAACAAACTGACAGCTGTCATCCGTACGGTCAAACAGAACTATTATGCTCGCAGGCTTGACACTAGTAAAGCCAACATCAAGAATGTCTGGCATGAAATAAATTATATCCTCGGGAACAAGAAAAAAAAACTGATCTCCCAGAAGAATTTTCAGATGAACAGCACACCCTTACTTGTCCAGCCGAAATTGCCGATTCCTTCGACAACTACTTTTCTAACATTGGTGCGTCATTGGCTAGCAAAATCCCACACGCTAACTCACTTTTCACCAACTACCTTCATAACCAAAACAGTTCATCTTTTTTCTTCTCCCCAACATACTGCTTCGAAGTAATCAAAGTTGGTAAGGAACTTAAAAATAGCAAGAGTTGTGGATTCGATGATATCAGTTCCTTGGTTGTTAAAGCTGTCATTCCATTTATTTTTCCCCCTCTAACTTATAACTTCAATCTCTCCTTTCTCACTGGCTCTTTTCCATCTAACCTCAAGATCTTTTAAGCTATTCCCATCTACAAATCTGGAGACCGAAACGATATTCGTACGGTAACTACAGACCAATCTCACTTCTTCCCCGTTTCTCTAAAATCCTAGAGAGACTGGTTTACAATCGTCTCATTTCCATCATTCCTCGCTTTAATCTTCTCTCTGATCAACAGTACGGCTTTCGTAATAATCATTCCACTGACGTGGCCCTCATTCAGCTGATTGATAAGCTTACCCATGCGGTTACGAACAAGATGTCAGCCATTGGAATCTTTATCGACCTTTCGAAAGCATTTGATACTTTTAACCACTCTATTCTCATTTCTAAACTTGATTACTATGGAGTCAGAGGTGTTGCCCTACAATGGTTTTCCAGCTACCTCAAAGAAAGGCAAAAATTCACTTCTATTCATACATGTAACTCTGTGTTGTCCCTTCAATGCATCCACCATGGTGTTCCTCAAGGTTCTATCTTAGGTCCTCTACTTTTCCTACTTTACATCAATGACTTGCATTCCTCTTCATCCCTTCTATCATTTACTCTTTTTGCAGATGACACGATAGTTATGCATTCTGGCCTCAATCTTCACTCTTTGATCAAATATATGCTCTTTTCTTGGTCTTCAAATTCTTCTACTGACATTAATCCCATCTATATTGACATAATTTCTATATCTAGAGTTTCATCTACCAAACATTGTTTGGGCGCATGCTTCTAACAGTAAACTTCACTCGCTAACCATTATTCAACAACAGGCCATCAGAATATGCACATCTTCCCATTCTTGTGAGCATACTTCACCACTTTTCACAAAGCTAAATACTCTCACTCTAATTGACATCAATAAACTTCACACTGCTATATTTATGTACAAGTTTACTAACAACTTACTTCCTTGGTCCTTTTCCTCATTCTTCACATCAATTAACGACACTCACAGACATTTCACCAGGTCTCGCAGCAAACACAATTTATTCTTGCATAACACCCACACCTCATATTCAATGAACACCTTGAATATTACGGACCTCGCCTTTGGAACAGCATCAGCGAAGCAACAAAAACCCAGCCGTCCGTGGGTCGATTGAAACAACTTTATAAACGAGTTCTTATCTCGCATTATGTGACATAGTTTCCTTCTCTTCTTTATTCTTATCTTCTTCCTTTATTCTGTAATCTTGATTTAATGTTTTATCTTGCGTTTTGCTACTTACATGTTCAGATTTCATTCAGTGATTAAATTGTCAGTCCTTGTTATTTGTGTGTGATGTTTCGTCTTGTTCTCATCACCCTGTTTTGCGTCTTATCTGTTGTACAGTTTATCCAAAATACTTGTAATAATGTTTCATTTAAAGGCATTTCAGTACAAGCCTCGGCTTCTTGAAAGTGCCTCCATACCTATATCTTGTATATTTCACCTTGTTTATTTCATTTGATTTTCTATTTGTATATGCATTTATATATTTCTATTTAATTGTTTATTAATGTTCTCACTTTTCTTCTGTGTCACACTGTTACATTAAGTGTTTTTCGTAATTGTATCATTTATATTTTTGAAGGTATGGAAATAAATGTTCTGAATAATAAATCTTGGGAATGATTAATCACTCAGGGAACATTTTGATGTAAGCCTACCACTTTATGCACCAAAAACTCTTAACATACCTCCCATTTCAGCGCACTGTCCTGACAGCTACTGGAATCTCACCACTTAGTGATTAGCCACAAAACCACAAAGCTACTCTAACCACAGATCTTGTGTGTAGGATTGGTGAGCACTCTAACTCACATGGCTTCCTTATTGGGGGGTGGGCCTGAATGATGTTTTGGATTTGGTCTCTCAAAAGCTGCTCTAAGCCAAATGGCTTCCTTATAATACTGAACCCAGCACAGCTAGTCAGCAAACCCCAAGTGCCACCCAATGCCCCAGTGACATGATCGTCATGCAATCCTGAACTTCAGTTTAAAAAGTCTTCATTGTCACTGGTTGATAAGTTGTGCCTTAGTTCAGCATAGATATATTCTCACAGGCCTTTATCGATCCAAAAGCGCGGACTCAAAGAATTTCCCCTCATTGTTTCTCTCCTCGTACGAAAATTATGTCTGAAAAAATAACAAATAACCCACTGCTCAATAAATTCCCAGATGTCCTTATGAATGTCTAAATAAGTTCTGGGGTTGTTTTACCACAAATTATCTGGTTTTCTTGTTTTCACATAAAACTTCGAAGCCTTTTTTCCCTTGTAACGGATCTGATACACAGACACTAAATAAATTGGAGGGGTTATTGTAATATGATATGTATGTCTAATTCTTGTGTTTGAAGGAGAAAATCTGTCAAGTGTCAAACAACACAAGCCAATTAAATTCAGGAACTATAAAACAATTTTCCAATAGATTAAAGGGGGAAATTTAATGTGAATTTAATACACAAGAGTGTGCTAAATGGAACAAGTTTGAGGTGTGGATCAATGATCATCCAGGGTATAAGTGAATGCCCCGAAGTCCCATGTGAAGAGTACGTGAAAACTCGCGGAAGCGCAGAGAGATCTGCAATGCTATGGTAGACGGGTTTTGGCGATGCAGGATGGAATGCATCTACAAACTCTCACCGCGCCAAGTGGCAACAGTTGGCTAAAAACCAACAGGAGGGAGACATCGTTCTCGTCATTGGTGAGGACAGGAGACGTAGTTCCTGGAGAATGGCTGAAGTTGTGAACACCTACCCAGGGAAAGATGACCTTGTGAGAGTCGTTGAGATCAGGTTTACCGATGGTACCAAAGTTAAGAGACCGGTGACGAAGCTCATTCTTCTCATGAAGAAGTCAGAACGATCAGACACTAATTGATGAACAGTAGTTTGTTCATTCATTCATTCGTTCATTTTTTTATTTGTCTCAAATCGTGGCCCGGAGGGCCAAATTCCAAAAACAATTACATTATAAACAATTAATTGTAAAAGTGATTAAAACTTGCATAATACAAAAAAAATGAGTAAAATACTAGGCAGGCAATACATTAAAATTGTGCATAAACATACACCACATAACCAGGGAGACAGAACTATTCAAGAAAGGAGGGACAACATGCAGCCCCCCCCCTAAAAAAAAAACATTACGCACAGTAAAATCACACAGAGCCGGCATTTAAAATGTTAATGAAGTAAGGGATGGGACTCTGTTGGAAGCACTTGGTTCTAATAGGGAGTCGAGTTATTTGGTTACTGATCCTTAGGTTTCTACCATGACTTGTTAGCCTCGTAGAGGGAGTGAGTTGTTCTTGAATTAGAGCCAAGTGCTTTAGCAAATTTTAAGCAATGTCCTACTCTTCTGCTATCTAGTGCATCCAAGTTACACAGGTTGAGCGCATCCAAGTACGAAGTGTACCGATTTCCCATGATGGTTCTACAAGCTCGTTGTATCCTTTCAAGATTGGTTGCTTTTTTGTTAAACTAGAATGCCATATCATATCTGCGTACTCGACCATAGGTCTGACATAACTGTTGTAAACAACCAAAAGTTCCTCGTGATCAAAGCCAAATCATTTTAGTGATCTAGTGATGAAGAGGCGTTTGTTTGCTTGTTTTACCATGTGATCAACTTGGGCCTCCCACTTAAAATCAGCTTGAAACCAGAGGCCCAGAACCTTGGCTTTGTTGACATACTGGAGCTTTTCAGAACCGATGAACAATTCAGTATGAATTGGGGCAGATTTACTGAAGCACACTTCAAGAACCTGGCACTCGGAGCAGCATCATTAATCATAATTTGGAAACCTACAGGTCCTAATTTAGTGCCTTGAGGGACGCCTCCATTCAGAAAAACATAATCAGAAGTACCATTGTTAAACCTGACACATTGCTCACGGTTGTGAAGAAAATTACCAATGCAAGGAACGATACTACGACGCACTCCAATTTGAAGAATTTTGCTAATGAGCACAGAGTGGTCAACAAGATCGGAGGCTTTCGAAAAATCGGTTAAAACCATCGTTCCAAGGTTGCAACTTTCCTCAGCACCCTGATTAAGATAATGAATCGATTTATCAGATAATGGTTAGTGGAAACTCCAGGGACATTACCAAATTGCCTCATCAATACAATGGCCGATATAATTAATCATCCAACCACAAATGAAACTCTCAGCTACCGGTACCTTAGCAAAAATGGATGTGAGTGAAATAGGTCACAGTTTGTCTAGGAAAGGAGGATTCTGCTTCGGAACAGGTCCAACAATGGCCCTTTTCCACTTAACCGGGACAGTCCCCTCATTAACAGAACAATTGAGAATAGTTGTCAATGGCACACTGAGCTCGAAGGCAAATTCCTTTATAAGCTTAGCGAGTATACCATCTGGACCAGTGGCTTTATTAGGATTGACTTTCCTGAGCTCAAAGTAAACATTCCAAGGGTAGAGATGAGGGACTGGTTTTTCAGCTGGTAGGTAAGCAGGCAGCTTAGCCAAATCAAGTGGCTGTAAATGTTCTGAGATTTGGGCAAACATGTTATTTGATTTCATCTGCCTTGCCTTGTGCATCCCCGTCATCAACACCTGGAACATCCAACTTAAGCCCGGAGTTATTCAAGTTAGTAACCTTTTTGATTTGCTGACACCACCTTCCTTGATCCGTACTCTGTAGATTTCTAATCCTATTAGCATGATATGAAACTTTGGCCTTACAAATCTCTCTTTTTATCTTGTTTCTCAACTTACGCCAAACATTGTGCTGAGATGAATGGAAAGCTATTTGACGATCGGAAATCATTTTCTTTATCAGTGGAGTGATCCAAGGTTTGTCATTACTGTGTACTTTCCTTTTCTTCTGAGGGAAAAACTTATTTATTCCATGTTGCAGAATCCCATAGAAAGTGTCACATTTACTTTGAGCGTCAGAGCACTCCGTGACCTCGTGCCAATCTAAACCCTGTATCCATGAACCGAATGATCGAATTCCAGACTAATGCAAAGGACGCGTGATCAAAGTTTTAGAGATGTGCTTAGCGGCAACTGTTTTAACCTTAGGAGCCATTCAAAATTTTCGATGTTTTTAAATTTCGATTTTTGTTCCAAATTGTTTTGACCCACCCACCCACCCCAATTTTCGATCTTAAAATATTGATTTTCCATTCAATAAAAAACATAAAGAATGTCCAGTTCAGTCGTATACGGACTGCAGCTGCAGTCCGTATACAGTACCTTTGCAACAACACGGCCCACTGGCATTCCCGTACGTACGTATGTACGTATAGGGAATCCAACTGGAAACATGTAAAACTAGTCCAATCTAAACGGTAATAATAAGTATCAGCTCTCTCTAAAAACAAAATACTTTTGTCTTGGCGTAAAGAGGTGTAATGACTCCCATTTATCATGAAGTTTATTTTAGAAATTCCAGTCGTTTTTGATAGAAACAAGAAAAGTAGTGTTAAAAAAACACAAATGCCCTGCAACCATGCCTATTTCCATGACATAACACCACTCTATTATAAAACATCAACTTACCTGGGTCACATGGAACGTTCATTGACATCATTATTGTTTTCTTTAGGTTATGTATTGATGCCTATGATCCCATAATGATTTTTTGTCTTTTACTTTTCTGTTGGGAAGTCATTGTATGTGATTTAAGCATACTGACTGGATATTTTCAGTCTTAAGCAAGACATTTCTCAAAGGCAAATCCTTTTAGCATAATCCTTTGAGCATTTACAAGGCCTACATGGAAATAAGAATTTTTAAATAATCAAAAGAAAATATGGTCATTTGAATAAGCTTGAGTAATCATCATGACATCATTTCTTTGGTTTTTAATAATGAGAACAGTTGGCCTATGGGGTCCGAAAGTGACTCAAAATCCTAAGAACAACCCACGGAGCTGCATACATGTACATGTACTACGGTGCAAGTCTCAAGTTTTAGTATTAATACACGTACATGTACATGTGTTTGTTTTCTGTTGTTTCAATTAAAAATATGACTGTCCAAGAAAAAAGGGTGGAGAAGCCACATTGATTATACAAAAAACATGTATAAACAGTGTACAGGCCCCCTAATATTTTAGTAAGTGATTACATTTGCACATGTATACTGGTTTGGTGGGAGGAAAAAAAAATTAAATAAAATATAATAAAATTCTATTGTTTTAATCCTAATGACCTTGGCCTTTGTCTTATGGGGTCCAAACTTATAAGTTATACTAGCAAGCTACCTTCATTGTATCAAGGTTCAAGACATACATGGACATACAATCCAGATATCGCTGTGGAACCAAATGCACATGCACACACGCACACACGCACGCACAACCCATACATAGTACTGCAATAGGCATAAATGCACATCATCATCATGTCGGTTTTAAGGCCGTTGTCCAGTCTGTTCTGGGTTGGCCTGCTTTCTCCCTATGGCTCTCCTCCACTTGGCCCTGTCCGTCGCATCCCTCGCATTGACTCCAAGCAGTCGCATGTCATCTGACACGGAGCTCTGCCAAGTCTTGCGCGGTCGGCCGACGGGTGTGGGCCCACCCACAATTACGTTGGTACACCTCTTGACCCAGTTGACATCCTCCTTTCTCTCCACATGACCAAACCACCTCAGCCTGTGCCTCCTCAATACGATGCCGATCCCCTCCACTCCCACTCTCCTCCTCAGCTCCTCGCTTGACAGCCTGTCAGCCAGAGACACCCCACACATCCACCTGATCATTCTCATCTCTGCTCGTTCCATCTGCTGGATGTGCCCCACCCTCGTGGGCCATGTCTCGCAGCCGTACACCATACTGCTTCGGACACAGGCGGTGTAAACCTGGCCCTTCATCTTCAGGGGCGGCGCCTTGGATGTCAAAAATGGGGCCAGCTCCCTGAACTTCTTCCACCCACTCCTCACGCGTGATGTCACTGCTGCATCTGCTCCTCCCTCAGCACCCAGCATGTCACCCAGGTAGCAGAACGACTCCACCACCTCATACGTGTCACCGCAGACCTCCAGACCCGCTTCTCTCTCCTCTGGCCGTAGACCATCACCCCGACATCTCTTACAGACGAACGTGGCGCTAGCAGCCTGAAGACTACCCTTCAAGCCACTACATCGCCTGTGAACCCACTTCCTACACGTTGTACACTGGATTGAGTTGGCAGCTACACCTTTCCCACACACACCACACGGCCATGCACCAGAGCTCGTCATTGGCCCACCGCTGACACGACTAACCATCACCTTGGTCTTCCCGGCGTTGATCTTCAGACCCTTAGATGCCAGACACACTCTCCATGCTGCCATCTTTGCATGTAGCTGCTCCCTTGTCTCTGCTATAAGGACTAGGTCGTCCGCATACAGCAGTTCCCAAGGCAGCCCGCCTCGCGTCTCACTGGACACCACGTCCATCACAGTAGCAAACAGCAGGGGGCTCAGTACCGAGCCCTGGTGTACACCAACCTTCACCTCAAAACTCCTGCTATCCCCTGCACCTGTCCTCGCCACCGTACTAGCACCAGTGTACAACATCATCACTGCTCTCACCAGCCATTCCTCCACACCCCGCTTCCTCAAGGCCCATCGCACAACCTCCCTTGGCACCCGGTCAAAAGCTTTCTCAAGATCCACAAACCCAAGGTAGAGCTTCTTCTTCTTGGCCAGAAATTTTTCCTGCAGCTGTCGTACAATGAAAATGGCGTCAGTAGTTCCTCTACCCGGCATAAAGCCGAACTGCATCTCGTCAATCTCCACCTGCATCCTCAGATGTACCTCAAGCACTCTCTCCCACACCTTCATTGCCTGCTCCAGGAGCTTGATGGCCCTGAAAGAGCCACACTCTAAAGGGTCACCCTTGCCCTTGAACAGGGGAACCTAGATGCTGTTCTGCCAATCTGTGGGAATACGGCCTTCTGCCAAAATGGAATTGCACAAGGCCGTCATCCACTGTACACTGACACCTGCAGAGGCCTTCATCATCTCACTAACCACTCCAGATGGAACAGCGGCCTTCCCAGACTTGGTGTGCTTCAGTGCCTGAGCCACCTCCCATTCTTCGATAAGGCAAAATGGACCCTCCACCACTTCACTTTCCACCTCCCTGTCCCACTCGTTCTCCACATTGAGCAGCTGCTCCATGTATCTCCTCCACACACACGCGTTTGTTTTACATACATGTACATATGCTATGTGGACATTCCTTTGTTTTCGTGTAGTTAAGAAAAGTCGGTACAAAAACATCTTTACTTAAACTGTGAAAACTCTTTCAACCCAAATTTTACTTATGATTCCCTTTAGTGTTTCTCTTCATTCTGCCACAGATAAACCTAACCCCAAAATGCCTCTAAAGGTGTTTTCCAGAGAGGGCGAAATGTTATGTGGACACGGCTTAGTCCACGCAACGTCAACACAACCTGCATTATGTGGACATCTTTTGTTCACAAGTCCACATAGTGACTGTAAGACAAACTCACACACACACACGCAGTCGTTTTTTGCTATGCTTCCGAGGATTGGCTTTGTGTTTTCCTTTGTTCCCTGATCTAAGCCTTTCCCATAGACTTAGTGCACAAACCTGCGTTCGAGGACAATAGGCACCGTCGTTCGAGGATGAATGGCCCCTTTGTGCTCCTTTTGTTGTCTGTCCTCGAGCGTAATACAATACAGGAACACACCCCTATGTGTAAATGCCGGCAATTGTGGACGCCCCATTGTCCCTAATCCTCTTTCCTTTGTTTGTACTCTCTCTCATTGGTTTTGTACACGATTTGAGATCGTGGACGTTCGGTCAATCATGGATGTATTGTTTGTGCCCCAAGTCTTTTGTCCTACGTCCACGATTGCCGGTGTTTACATACTCACCCCCACACACCCACACACAGACGGACAAGGCGGAAACAGTATGCCCCACCGGCGAATTGAACTCTCAACTCGCACTTTCCAGACGTGAGGCATGGGCGCTGCCATGTTCATTGCACGCAGATACCATGCGCATGCATGCGCATGCAGGTTGCCTAAGTAGTCTTGAACATAAGTAGGCTTATTTCGTTGTTGCGATTCGTAACCGACACTTGGGGCGTGTATGACAAAAAGTATCACGCTCCATTTGCACGGAGCACTGATTTTACGCATGCTCTAAGTCTAACTTCACTGGTCCCTATGCATATGGTGCTCCGATGAACGTATACACAATACACGGTACACTGCACATGTACCAGATGCATACTATACCCGTACGGTACGGGCAAAGGGTTTACGAATCGGATCGCAGAACGCAGAGAGTTGAATTGGCACGTCAAAAAGAGCTATTTTCCATCTTTTTAATTGACAGAAGTGAATTTCAATTAACAAAAATTTCAATAAATTAATTTGACCCACCCACCCACATTTTCAAACAAAAATGGAAATTCAAAAACATCGAAATTTTTGAATGGCCCCTTAGGTCGCCAAATCGGCCAATCGGAGAAATGGCACATGGACAACTATAGTGACCTTTTATATTTCCACTCGCGAGCAATAAATCAAGCGTTGCTTCAGCACGAGTCTGAAACTCAACAATTTGGTGTACATCATTACCTCTGAGAATAGATTGTATATTCATGCGATTGAAATCACCTTAAATCAAAATAGCAATATCCGGATACAAAGTTCGTAAAAGGTCCATACTGTTCAACAGATGCTCTGTTAGTTGGGTTTGATGAGGAGAGTTCGTTGTTATATACACGGCACAAACAGCAACTGCCGAGATAGATCTTGGGAGGCGTTTGGGTCTTATTTTGACCCACACACATTCCAACTCGTCTGGTACGTCTATAACATCCAGCTTGGCCGAGGACATGTCATGGTTGACATAGATGGCAACTCCTTCTCCACGTTGACCTTCCCGACATTTGGAGTAGAGGATATTTGATTCTCAGGGATATATCTCTGGAGAACCACGATTCAGTTGTTACCCCGACATCAACTTTGTTTTGTTGGAAGACTACTGCTGCTTCATCACGTTTATTGACAAGGGATTGAGCGTTTTTAAAATAGAAAACTGGGAGATCAGAATGGGAGGGAATACTCTGGTGCTGTTCCGAGTCATCATCAGATCGACGTGCAAGAGACGCGTCCAGACAGGATGGGATATTGGTAAGTATTCTTGGTCTCCAAATTGTTTGGCAATACTGGGGTGTGGTATGTTGTGACAGTCTCACAGTGATATTTCTATGCATATGAGCACCACTTCGTCGTCCTCTACATCTGCCATAGATACCATTCTTTTTTTAGAATCTCTTCAAGTTCATGTGAGATCGGAGCTCGGTTTCCTTGATTCAGTTGCTATAGCTCATATCTGCCATATTTTTCCGGGACAGCAGATTGCCATATGGAGCTATGGTATTGTCAGCGATGGTGGGGATAGATGTTTGGAACCGCGGGGAATTATCAGTGACGAGTTATTCCTTACCAGTCCGATTCATTTCCAAATTAGTTTCATGGATGATTTGTTGGGTTGATGCTAGTTTCTCCAATCTTGGCCATGTATGCACAATATTGTCAGTGGGACCCGGTCCCGGGTTCGTATAACATCACCACAGAGTAACAGCTCCAGCTGTAATGTTGACGTGCAGTTACTATAGTACAGTACCGATCACTGTTAACCTACCACCGGTTAACGGTAACCAATGGTTACCTATAATCCTCCCGCTAATCTCGTTGCGTTTGGACGAAAGTACGCAAAACGGCATTCTTATCCGATTGGTAAACAGTCTGTGGTCAGGCTAAGGTTGTAAACTTCCTGTCTTCGTTCATGGAATCTATAAACAACGCTCCCTCCTGCAGCAGCCTACACATCGTTTTATTGTTCCAGTACACACACTTGTGGTTAGATAGTGCAGTCGTAAAATCCTGGGGTCAATTATCTGCAATCGTGTATCAACTTTTGACCACGATCTTTCCAGCTACAAGAATGCATGCATGCATGATCAATGACCGATGTATGGTGCAAGCTCCAAGGCCGCTTATCATCAAAGATATACAATGTATAAGTTTTGAAGTTCGCCTGTCAATCATTGTCTCGAAATGGCTTTCCAGACAAGAATATATAGGAGTGGACACTATTTTATTCCCCGGCTGTAATTGGGGGACATGTATAAAAATGTGCTTGGTCGTTTTTTAAAGTAAAACAACAACAAACACCTACACGAACTCTCCGTTAAATATCCTGTGGATTTCTGGGAAAAATTTAATACGAACTATGCTTAGTTTTCTTAACAAATAATATCAAGGTAACCAACATCCCTTGGACCATCAACTGAACGTCAAAGAATATTTTAAATATATATTCTAGACAAATTTGTCTGGTCCTCTCGATTTTTGAAACAAAACAATTCCCTACATCCCAGCCCATGAAATTCTGAACTCCTCGTTAAATCCTGCGAATTTGTGGTTTCATTTAATATGAATTGTTCTAAAGTTTTTCTTATTTTTAAAGGAATAAGGGTCAAGATTACCAACAGCCCTTGGTCTTTTAATCGAACAATCAAATATATTCTAAAGTACATTCTACAGTATCATTAAAACAAAATAATAGGCCGTGCGCTGTTGTTGTTGTAATGTTCTTTTTTAATAAACGAAGAAAATCGTCATTCCCATTTAGGCCAAAAAATACTTCTGCTTCTAATTACATGCTTTTCCAAAATAGGGTCGGTCGGTCGGAATATTTTTTTTGCCATTTTTTTTAATGCTGATTGAATGGGGTATTCAATTATATGCGGAGTTTTAGACTGAACTTTTTCCATTGCACTACGAAAGCTATACCAAAAAATGCCACAAAAAGTTAACGCTAGTCAAGACTGGAAACAGGCCAAAACTCCGTAATTCATGAGTGAATGCATGTGTGGCCAGCGGGCGACAGACCTCGTTTTTACTGTGGACAATTTTGGAGAAACACGCTGCATCGTATCACTCCAAATACAAGTGCCATCTCAAAATGAACTCTTGAACACAGAAAATACATACACAGACAAGAGAGATCAAGCTCCGTGAATAAACTTGCAAAAATGTTCCTTCTCCATCGGTGTTTTCTTGGCATTTTTACGACGTCGAATCTGACTCACCAGTAAACAGTGCACCCCGTGGGCCTGCCATGCTAGCGCTCTGCGCTATAGCGAATAGCTACCATACGTGTATATGCACAGACTGGTTTATACCGCACTTTTTTTTGTCTTATTTTCCTAGCCTCGGAGAGAGCGAGAGAGAGAGACACCAAATACATTCAAGGGGTTAATTTAATATAATTTGTCTGGTTCTAAATCTCTTGATTGTTACAATAAAAATGCGATTTCCAACACAACTCAAAAGTCCTAGTCCATTAAATTCCGAACTCTTCGTTAAATCTCCTGTGGATTCCTGTGGAAACTTTAATACGAATTATGATGCTTAGATTTTGTTATTTTCAGGAATAACATCACGATTATCTGCAGCCCTTGGACTTTTATACTGAACGTCAAAGTATATTTACACAATAAAAGGCCATGCCCTTTTATTTTAGAGAGAAAGGCCGAATACAATCAAGTGGTTAATTTAATACCATTTGTCTGATTCTCTTGATTTTAAAATAAAACGATTTCCAACGTCCTAGCCCATTAAATTATGAAGTCTCAGTTAAAGCTTCTGTGAACTCCTGGGGAAACTTTAATACGAATTATGCTTATTTTTTGTTATTTTTAAATAGTCAGGTGGCATATGGTCGGAATCGTGACTGACTGGTCCAAAGCACCAAACTTGGCAGATAGATTCTTATAGCCCTAGGGAAGATATTTAGAAGGGGTGACACCTGAAATTCTTTTGGGAAGGGTGCCTAATTTGCATAAATCGTTAATCCCTGCCGTGTAATATATTTATTCCCATATTTGGGTATATATATATTTTTTTTTTTTTGAAAAGTGTATTTTGGTGATTCTACTTGCATATTCTTACTTCAATAACATTTTGTAAAACATATAAGTGACTGAATAATTAGGAGGTCATAGTAAAGAACCAAAATTGCTAGTATTTTACCCTAAAGTTACGCGCATTTACTTTTTCCTCAGATATCATCAACTAGTCTCGCCAAACGTGGGTACTGATGAGCTTCAAATTCACAAAGTTACTTA